GTGGGTTTTTTATTTGATGTTTTTTAGTAATATTTGAATGATTGTAAAAATAATTAAATGTAACAAATTATCTGTTTAAATATTATAAGTGTTTGAATTTTGTTGATAATTTTCAAGGTCATCATATTAGAAAATCATTCTGGCTTATCAGTTATAATATAACTTTTCCTCATATTTAGAAAAGAAAAGCTTCACTGATGATAGTTGTTCTTTATTGTTTCTTTCTTATCATATCACTTCTTATCAATGTTATTCTAGTATTCAGTTATTGATTATTCCTTTTGAAAAATATCTTAAATGACAAGATTTCTTCTACTCACTGTTTTTGCTTCACATATCATTGTTTGTACTCAAGCAGTTTACAGTATCAGTTGATGATACCAATTCGTATAAATTAACATCTGGATAAAGTTTTCAAAATATTTGAACCAATTGTCGTGGAATGTAATGACTGCCAGATAATTTATTTGCAAGCTCAAAACTTGGGTAATTAAACCCCAAACTTGTCTATTCAGATGAGGCCCTAAGTTAGTGCGAAGGAGTTCGTGAGGAAGCCGGTTTGTCTTGTAAATACACAACGGTAAGGGAACGTAACCTTTATCGAAAGAAGACTTTGATGAACATTCGTCAATGTCCGTAGAATCGAAGCATAATAAGAATAAGCAGAAGGGAAGAATAAGCCCTCAGCCACCATGATTTGGGACAGAGCTTATATGGGTTAAGAAATGGGAGTGGTTTACATAAAACGTTAAAAATGGGTGTCATTTAGATACAAGGGAAACTGTAAAGATCCAATTACATACTAAGCATTGTAACAAGAACAGATGAGAAGGTTAGCATGTAAATTGGACATCCTTTGTCATTAAAATAAAGATGTAAATTTCCGTTAGATAAAGATAACAAAAAAAACGTATGGGAAATAATTTTAAAGAATGTAAATTGGTTAAATGATTCATACTATTGTTAACATTTATTTACAATTTGAATAAGGAATTTATTTTATTTATTCATTTATTTGAAGTTTCGTTTTTTATGACACCAATGTTGAAGAATATTCAACAATTTCATACTTAAATATTTTTTGAGAGCGAAAATAAAGTAAAACGTTGCAAATAATTTCAGTCAATGAAATTTGTTGAAAGTAAAAGAAATATTTGAGATTTTCTTATTTTGCTAATTTATTTATATTTCTTTTATCCTATTATCAATATGCTTATTAAATCTTACATCTATCATATGCATAATGAATATTCTTATTATTACAGACATTTAAAAATCAAATCCAATTTGGTTCATTATTATTTCACTAATTTGCTAATTATTCTAATTAAGTGATTCCTAACTTCTTCTTAACCAACGATAACTTAGCTTTTTTTGTTTGTAGCACGGGTCAAAAAGATTCAAAAACAATAAATTTTATTAAATGACAAATAAACTTTAATCAAGACTTTCGGTGTATTAGTTTATTAAACATTTGTCAAAAAAAAAAAGAAAAAAAACATGTTAATTTATCAACAATTTATCAAGCTTATCGTACATTAGCCCCCACTCCCTCGCTTGTTTTCTATTCACTGTACTGCCACCTTCACGAAGGTCATCGGGTCACCAGTTGGGAACTCTCAATTGGTCACTATATTAATTACCCAATTGTTTTTCTTCTATTCCATATTT